AAAGAAATTAAGTCATAACTAGAAACAGAACAACTCAAGAGGTTAATCCTGTATCTAAACASGTTGAAAATACTAAGCCCTGTGCTCTTGTTTTATATGTGGACTTTACACCTGCTCCTAGAAAAGCTTGTGAACATGGTGAGCATTTTAATTAGATGGTTTTACTCTTTTTTAAATAACAGAACACAGCATGTAAAGGTGAATGAAACAGTTTTAGATGTTAGACATAAAATCACTGGAGTTCCACAAGAAAGTGAATCATCTCCGCTTCTTTTTGCCTAATACATTAGTGACTGCATAAGTATTCACTCAAATAAGCACATTGTGAAATATGCAGATGATACTGTCATGCTGAGTCTTCTACAAAAGGAAATGGATATATCATCACAGGGAAATAGAATCCTTCACTAAGTGCTGAGATAAGAATTGTCTCCTGTTAAACGTGAAAAAGACACAAGAAATGATCTTTAACCCTAGGGACGTCTCTGCCCACGGGTCTGTCATCATAAAGGACATTGTAATTCAACAAGTGCCACTTTAGAAATACCTAGGAATCAGGRAGGAGACTGATGGTGCCACGGTGTAAGACCAGCAGACTGAAATGGTMTTTTGTTCCAGCTTCAATCAGACTGTTGAACTCCAGCAACAGTGTTCTTTCTGTGACACACTGGCACGTTACCAGGTTGCATTTTGCAGCTAATATCTTATATTGTACCTTTTATTTGTTGTGTTGTTGACTGATGTTGTTTTTGAGCTAGAGTTTTTTTTCTCCCTGTGTGTTGTTTTAACATTTTTTTTATTTACAATTGTGTAGCACTTGCCTGCTTTATAAAMCTTAGGCTGTGTGCAGCTTGCATTTTTTAAAAGTTTTCTCGCTCTAAGAAGTTTACCAAATACGTTTTTACTTTTACTTGAGTAAAAATATGTTGAAGTAGTGCTATTCTTATTTGAGTACAATTCTCTGGGTACTCCACAGGTCACAGGTGAAGATCTGGACCCCTGGACATCTGCAATACCGTGAGGGACTGGAGACCTGTCCACGCGTCTCTGTGATGAATAAAGAATAATTGTTGCAACAAAGAAATGATCGACTAAACACAGATTTTCTACCTAAAGCTGTATTAAGCTGCCTGCATTTGATATTTTAGGATGTTAGTGTTTATTAGTTTCTTTAAATTGAATAATATTCTGACTCCTTTACTGACTTGATCTGATGTAGTTCTGGTTCAGGATTCTTTGTTAAACTGAAACTGCTGAACAGTCTCATCCCTGATGGTCTCTGTTTAACAGAAACCAAAAGAGAAATGACGTCATCTAGTGGTCATATTTAAAACACAACAAATAGAAAAACATTATAGGAAAGACATAATCCTTAAATTAAATACACACACACACACACACACACACACACACACACACACACA